TCCCTATCGAGATTATGGATGTCGCTTATTAATACGGGCTAATCGTTGTTTTTTTTTCACCCTAAAACTTTGGGCTATTGAGTTTATCGAGAATATTCAACTAAAACTTTTGACATTTTCAAATTATCATTTTAAACTTTTAATTTTAATAAATTAACACATTTATACAAATAAATATAAACTTATACATCATTCAATAAATTTAAATCTCCAGTTCTGAATTCCAACCTAAAATAATTAAATATAAACTTATACATCATTCAATCAATTTAAATCTCCAGTTCTAAATTCCAACCTAAAATAATTAATATACGTACAGTATATCTTAATATTTAAGGAAGGGGGACACTTTATTTGCCACAACTAAGGTTTGAACTTTACACTTCCCACTTAGGAGAGCAACCCAATACCAATGAACTACAAGCCACTTAGTGGTATATCTTAATATTTATAATAAGTTTCTAATTTTTCATTATTTAAAAGTTTAATAAAAATACTAAAGATGTTCATATCTATCCATAAACTACATATATGTTGAGTTCCACGGCACTTCAATAACAAATAATAACATTAAGTGACTCAAGCTATTGTAAATAAATTTTGGATTTTGGACTAACTCGTTTGAATCACTAAACTTATAAGTTTTGAACTTATTTGGTTAAAATATTTCAAACCTAACTTTAAAAGTTTTTTATTTTATTAGAATTGACATTCCTAAAGGGTTTGATTTTAACCTAAGGGTCCGTTTGGAAAGTAGGAAAATGACTTCTGGAAAATGTTTTCCGGAAAATGAGTCATTTTTTGGAAAACATTTTCCTTTTCAGTGTTTGGTTGCATTCTGAAAAACTGTTTTTTTGTGTTTGGTTCATTTTCTGGAAAATGAGTAGAATTGTATAATTAAACATTTTAATTATTTTATTTAGAATATTACAACATGTATAATAATATATAATAATATAATAATAATTTTAAATAAGATAAAAAATAACTAATAATATATCAAAAATATTATGGTGGTGGTGGTAGTGTAGTGGTAGTGGTGTTATTTGTTATATAATAATAATAATAATAATAATAATAATAATAATAATAATAATAATAATAATAATAATAACTGGTGGTGGCAGTGGTGGTGGCGGTGGTTGCGGTGGTATGGTGGTGGTGGTGGTAGCGGCGACGGTGGTTGCTGTGGTATGGTCGTGGTGGCGGTGGTGTGATGGTGGTGGTGTGGTGGTGGTGGCGGTGGTTGCGGTGGTATGGTGGTAGTGGCGGCGGCAATGGTATGGTGGTGGTGGTGGCAGCGATGGTGGTTGCGGTGGTATGGTGGTAGTGGCGGCAGCGGTGGTGGTAGTGGTGGTGGTGTGATGGTGGTGGTGGTGGCGGCGACGGGGGTTGTGGTGGTATGGTGGTGGTGCTGGCGGCGGCAGTGGTAGTGGTGGTGGTGTGATGGTGGTGGTGTGGTGGCGGTGGTATGGTGGTGGTGGTGGTGGTATGGTGTTGGTGGTGGTAGTGGTTGTGGTGGTATGGTGTTGGTGGTGGTAGTGGTGATGGAGTGATGGTGGTGGTGTGGTGGTGTGGTGGCTGTGGTTGCGGTGGTATAGTGGTGGTGGCGGCGGCAGTAGTGGTGGTGGCGGCGGTAGTGAGGTGGTGGTCGTATGGTGTTGATGATGTTGGTGGTGGTGTGATGTTGGTGTAAAAGTTGAAAAATGACTTCCCCCAAAAAAAGGGGAAGTCATTTTCCTCCAAAACAAGCCTATTTTCCAAAGTCAACAGAAAATGATTTCCGTTGACTTGATTTTCCAGGCACATCCAAACAATGAAAACTTGGAAAATGATTTCCAGAACTTATTTTCCAGGTTTCCAAACACACCCTAACTTAAAAGTTTCTAATTTATGGAATAAGGTTCAAATTGGCCACTGAACGTAACCTGAAAATGCAATTAGGCCACTGAACAGTCCAAATATGTGCAATTTCACCTGATAGCAGGTTACCCTCAATTTTAGCAGATTATCTACTTACGTGGCAGCTGAGTTGGCATTGTTAATAAATTTTAATTAATTTTTAATAAATTTTAATAATAACTTTTTATTAAAAAAATTTTTTAAAAAATAAAAACGACTTTATTTTATTTTTTATTTAATTTTTTCCAATTTTTTATAAAATTTATTATTAAAATTAATTATTAACAATTATTTAAAAATTATTAAAAATGCCAACTAAGGTGCCACGTAAGCAGGTAACCTGCTAAAATTGATGGTAACCTGCTATCCGGTAAAATTGCATACGTTTGGAGAGTTCAGTGGCCTAATTGCACATTTTTTGAGTGTTCAATGGCCTAATTGCACTTTTTTTTTCGTTCAGTGACCTAATTGCATTTTCAAGTTACGTTCAGTGGCCAATTTGAACCTTATTCCTTAAAATTAACATTCCTAAAGGATTGTTTGATTGGATGTAGTTGCAATTCAATTACAACACAATTTTTTGACCACCGAATTACAGTGTTTGGTTTGAGAAAATTACGATTCCACCGAATTGCAATTCCCTCATTTTGTTGAATTGCAATTCATAATCTCCCCCATATAAATTGCAATTCAATGGGAAAAGGTAAAGGAAAAAGGAAGAAAAAAGACATTTTTACCCTTGATTATTATTAGTATTATTATTACACAAAAGCATTTTAATCTTTATACAACTTCTTCCCTTCTTATTTTCTTATTCATCAATACTAAACAATGTAATTTGAATTCTTATATTGCCCCTTAATTCCTTCCTTCTAACCAAACTTCCTATAACTATTTCATTAACAACATTTAGCTAGGAAACCTAATTAATGAAAAAGTAAAAAAAAAAAAAAAAAGTAATAATAATAATGTTCCACCGCCAAGGAGTAGGGGGCTGGTGACAGAGTAATGGTGCTAGCGCCCGACCCGGGTTGTCAACAGGCACCTGACCCGGCGCTCCGTGAAAACCTAACGGGCAAAACTCTAATGGGCAGAAGTCATTTAGTACCCCGCTCATTCAAGACAAGGAAATAATGCATCAGCTTCTCATTATAATGTAGTTGTTACGTACCGCCTCAATCTATTTTCACTCTATTCTTTTTCCACCAAATCATAAGTCTTTTGTCCCTTAATTCCTTTATTCTAACCAAACGTCTTATAACTATTTCATTAACAAGATTTAGCTAGGAAACCTAATGAATGAAAATGTATTAAAAAAAAAATAATAATAATAATAACAATAATAATAATAATAATAATAATAATAATAATAATCTATACTATATATAAAAACAAAATCCTTAAATTTTAACTTCCCGCTCAATTCCTAAAAAATCTCTCTTCCTAATAAAATATATTGATTTCTACTTTCCCATTCGTACAATAATTCTGCGTTAAAATTCTGTTCTAATATTATAAAATAGTGTAATACAATCTATACTATATATAAAAAAAAATCCTTAAATTTTAACTTCCCGCCCAATTCCTAAAATATCTCTCTTCCTAATAAAATATATTGATTTCTACTATCCCATTCGTACAATAATTCTGCGTAAAAATTCAGTTCTAATATTATAAAATAGTGTAATACAATCTATCTATACTATATATAAAAACAAAATCCTGAAATTTTTACTTCCTGTGCAATTCCTAAAAAATCTCTCTTCCTAATAAAATATATTGATTTCTACTTTCCCATTCGTACAATAATTCTGCATTAAAAATTTATTATAATATTATAAAATAGTGTAATACAATCTATATCTATACTATATATAAAAACAAAATCCTAAAATTTTAACTTCCCGCTCAATTCCTAAAAAATCTCTCTTCCCAATAAAATATATTGATTTCTACTTTCCCATTCGTACAATAATTCTGGGTAAAAATTCTATTCTAAAATTATAAAATAGTGTAATACAATTCTCTTTGCACATCTAATCTATACTATATATAAAAACAAAATCCTGAAATTTTAACTTACCGCCCAATTCTTAAAAAATCTCTCTTCCCAATAAAATATATTGATTTCTACTTTCCCATTCGTACAATAATTTTGGGTAAAATATTCTATTCTAAAATTATAAAATAGTGTAATACAATTCTCTTTGCACATCTAATCTATACTATATATAAAAACAAAATCCTGAAATTTTAACTTCCCGCCCAATTCCTAAAAAATCTCTCTTCCCAATAAAATATATTGATTTCTACTTTCCCATTCGTACAATAATTCTGGGTAAAAATTCTATTCTAAAATTATAAAATAGTGTAATACAATTCTCTTTGCACATCTAATCTATACTATATATAAAAACAAAATCCTAAAATCTTAACTTCCCGCCCAATTCCTAAAAAATCTCTCTTCCTAATGAAATATATTGATTTCTACTCTCCCATTCGTACAATAATTCAGTTAAAGCTGTGAAGTGTCAAAAGTTCGGCAATGCATAACTTTTGACTCGGTTGTCTGTTTTGGACAGATGTTTTTTTGAAATTGTGTATTTTTTCGAGATATATCCACCGCAAACTGCCGCAGGCGGTTTGCCCACCAATTTCTTAAAAAAATGCTTTATTAAATAGTTTATAAGAAAAAACTATGAGAACCTTATGTTTTATTAAATAATTTTTAAATTTTTTAATTAAAAAAATTGTCTCGTGCATTTTTTAATAATCTCTCTTTATAATTGGTCAAATTATTTAATTATGATAAATTAGGAATAATTAATGATGGTAATAGAAATCCTATAAGCGACCTCTGGTGAAATTAACTCTTAAAATAATTATATATCAATTTAAATATTCTTAGTATATTACAACAATTCCATTCCGTGCATCGCACGAGTAAAAATACTAGTAATAATAATAATAAAATGTTCCACACTTCCACCGCCAAGGAGTCGGGGAAACTCTAGTAGTCTAGTGCAGTCGGTTAAAAAGAAAAACAAAAATTTTAACCCGGAGGTCCAATTAAAGCCGCAAGACTAAAGCAACGAAACTGTCACGAATATTGGTCACAGACCATACAAAACCAACCACAACACGCCACGGCAACAAAACAACATTAAAGAGTACACGTGTCTCGACCACGTACTACCTTCTTATCTGTAATTAATACAGTTGTCAGTTTAGGTGCTCTCATTATTTTAAGTTTTAACCGCAGTGGAAATGTCGAACTAAGTAAACCACGGTTAAAACTTAACGTGACCATGGTTAACCCCCACTACCTGGGCAGTTTATATATCAACTGATGATCAGCGGATTGAGCCCAACAAAAACCACACCAGAAAAAAAGGATGATGATCGGAGAGAGAAATCTCCCTAATCCAACGGTCCTTGTTCCACCATGGCTCTCAGATGATCCGACGGCTAATATTCACTTTGTTTCTAGCCCCGGCGGTAATGCGAATTTTAGCGACGATGTGTCGCAGTTCCTCCAAAACGATGCCGTTTTACAGGCGCTTCAGCGTTATCTGCCGTCGAACGACGCCGCGGCGGCGGTGATGATGGGAGAGTTTGAGTCCGATAACGACAAGGACGTTGAGTTTCCGGTGGACGCGTATGCATGCGATAATTTCCGCATGTACGATTTCAAGGTGAGGAAATGCGCGCGTGGGCGGTCGCATGACTGGACGGAGTGTCCCTTCGCTCATCCTGGGGAGAAGGCTCGCCGGAGGGACCCGCGCAAGTACAGATATTCCGGCGCGGCGTGTCCGGATTTCCGGAAGGGGAACTGCCGGAAGGGGGACTTGTGTGAGTTCGCGCACGGCGTGTTTGAGTGCTGGCTCCACCCGGCGCGTTACCGGACACAGCCGTGTAAGGACGGGGTGAACTGCAAGAGAAGGGTGTGTTTCTTCGCCCACTCGCCGGAGCAGCTCCGGGTCCTCAGTCCTCGGGCCGACGGCTACGGTTTCTCCGACGCCTCCTGCGCTAAAACTCTGCATTTCGTTCCCTCGTCGTCGCCGGAGTCGGGCTCGCCGCCTTCCGAGTCGCCGCCGATGTCCCCGATGAACTCGATGGTGGCTTCTCTGCGGCAGCTGCAGCTGAACAAGGTGAAATCCATGCCGGCGTCTTCTTGGAGCGTGCATATGCTCGGGTCCCCACGGCTGACCCGATCCGCCGGGTTCTGCAGCTTACCCACAACGCCGACCCGATCTCTCAGCAGACCCGGAGTGTGCAACTTCGATCTGTGCGAGGAAGAAGAAGAAGAAGAAGTTCCCATGGAGAGGGTGGAGTCAGGAAGAGATTTAAGGGCGAAAATGCTTGAGAAGTTGAGCAAGGAGAATCCATTGGATGCAGTAGAAGCGGGTTCAAACCCGACCCATAACCCGTCCTATGCCCCAAGCCCGGATCTCGGATGGGTCTCGGACCTGATCCAGTAAATCATCAACTTTGACGATCTGACTCATTTATTTATGATATGATTCTGGCTGGGGAGTAAGTGATTTTTGCTCTTTTTTTCTACCCTCACTATATGTAAATATTATTATAAATTTGGGGAAAATGGGTTGAATCCAGGAAAACAAGCTAAAAAAAAAAAGAGAAATTTTGTAAATATAATTAAGTAGTAGGATAAGATAATCGAGGATGAAAGCTTAAATTCACTTCTTCTGTGGATTTTCATTTAAAATAGTAATAATAATTAGGAAGTGGTAGCAGAAGACTGGGATTTCATGTTCCTTTTTTGGCAATTTCAAGGTTGTCTCTATTATTATTATTATTATTATTATTATTATTATTATTATTACAGTGGAGGAGTAGTACTGAAGACTATTCTAGATATGTGATCTTTTTTGTCGATGTAATTCATGTAAATATATATGCCACTGGGGTTATATATTGAATGATGTGTTATTTATTTTCCAGTATTTCGATTTACCTCGTTATATAATTTTCAGTTTATTATTTTAGAATTGAATGAGACATACAATTATGTCAGTGAAGAATTTTTTGTTTTTTTGTTTTTTTTTTTAAATGAAATAATTGTGGAAAAATATCAAATAACCTTATCTCCTCAAGGACACAACCCAGAGTCAAAATTGGCATTAAAAAAAAAAAAAAATTCTAAGAATAGGTCTCTGATGTGATTTTTTAAATTTGGTACTCGTCTTTTAGTTTAGATGAAATAAATTCGTGATTATTAAAATTGCTTCACAATTGGTCTTTCTGTTAACTAAAAGTTTAGTTAAATAAACGTTAATGAAAGATTAAAAGAGTCATTTCCTATGTTAGTTTCGTCTTAAACCTCCATAGATTCACCATTTCTTCTCCTGTCGGACCCATTTATATATCGTTTTAATTTATTCTACTATCCCTTTTCATGGCCATCCCGTCTTAACTAAAAACACTACTACCCTTTCTCTAATCCCCGCCGGCCGCCCTATTTGCAGAGTGCTACAGTGCCGCACTTCAATAACAAATTAACAATCTAAAATTTCAAATTCACACTCACGGTTACAGTGCCCTCACATGGCTTTAGATGGAACAAATTGAAGCCTTTACAATCCAAAATTTCAAATACAGTAGATTTTAATCCAAGAATCAAGATGGGCTTGGCTTCATTGTCGCCTGTCAAATTTGGCCGAGTTTGAAGAGCAACAGATCACATACACAGATTCAAAATTTATGAACATAAAGTTGTGAACATAATTATGAACATATAGTTCTGTAATTATGAATATAGAGATTCAATAATTGTGAATATGAAGTTAAAAAATTATGAATATATAGCTTTATAATTATGAAGATATAGTTCAATAATTATGAACATAGAGTTTTGTAATTGTGAATATAGAGTTCAATAATTATGAAGATGAAGTTAAATAATTATGAATATATAGCTTTATAATTATGAACATATAGTTCAATAATTATGAACATAAAACTGTGTCCACATTGCAAGGTGGACACAGTTCCACGGCATAACGATTGAATAAAGTGGCGTACATACTTTTCATTCACAATAATGAAATCATTGTTTTTTTAAAAAAAATTTCCATTCGTTGTTGACACAAATTGTTTTGAGAGCTTATCAATGACAATTGCTGTCAATAGATGATGATAATAAATAATTCAAAATAGGACAAATGACACTTTTTCCCCCTGTATTGTTTACATATAACATATTTTTTCCTTATGTTGTTTATGTAACCACTTTATCCCCCTCAATTGTTTTGGAAGTGGCTATTTTCCCCCCTCTCCGTTAAATAAGTGTTAGGGCTGTTAAATATGAGGGTAAAGATGACATTTCACTTATTATTATTATTATTATTATTATTATTATTATTATTATTATTATTAAAATATAATAAACTATGTTAACATTTCTTTAAATTAATACTCCGTATAATTTAACTTTTTTTATTTTTAATTTATTAAAAATATTATTAAACACAAAAAAAATTAATTTAACAATTTAAAAAATTAACAAAAGTAACTAAAAAAGAGTTAAATTAATTAATAAATTATAAATAAGATAAGTAAGATGAGACAGAGAAAATAAGCACTATCATAAAAAAAAACAAAATATGATTTAAGCACATAATAATAATAATAATAATAATAATAATAATAATAATAATAATAATAATAATAATAATAATAATAATAATAATAATAAGTGAAATGTCATTTTTACCCTCATATTTAACAGCCCTAACACTTATTTAACAGAGAGGGGGGAAAATAGCCACTTCAAAAACAATTAAGGGGAATAAAGTGGTTACATAAACAACACAAGGGGAAAATATGCTATATGTAAACAACACAGGGGGAAAAAGTGTCATTTTCCCTTCAAAATATAAGGTTACAATAGATATTGTTATAATAATATAGTAAAAATTAACTTACAAATTTCTTTAGAAGTTTTCATGCATTGATAAAAGCATAATTGAAATATTAAGTTTTGTTCTCAATAATCAAAAGAAGATTAATTAAACGAAAAAAAAAAATTGAACTTAAATTTATTATTTTTTAATGAAAAAAAATCAAATGATTATCAAAGTTCCTGATTTATAATCATTGAATGCTATGTATTTAGTCGGGCTAATTATTTGACCAAAGTTTATGTTAAATTTTATACTTTATTTTTTAATACATTTTAATATATTCGTAGTATATGTTTAACAATTATGCTAACTCTAATTGGAATGAGGTTAGAACCTAAGACCTTTCTTATAGAAATTAATGAGTAAGTTAAGAATAATAAATAGTTAACGGAATATTCTGTTAATAAAGTTTATACTAACGAAATTTAAGGTTATTTAAGGAAAGAAAATAATATAATAAAGGGTAAATAAGGAAAATCATTAAAAATACTAAAATCAAAATACTATGAACCATTCATTTTAAGAAACAAGTAGTACCGACATTTTTTTTTATTCCAGTTAAGGGCTTAACATTATTGGCTCTTATTATAATTGTAGATTGTAGATTGTAGATTGTAGATGTAGATTTTTAAAATTTTTTGTAGTAGGTTGTAAATCACAAAAGTTAATACGGAAAAAATTATATTAAAAAGTTATTGTGTGACGAATTGAACTATGTACAAATTAAATTTGTGATTTTGTAAGAATAATAATTCGTATGTTATAAATCTATATATATATATATATATATATATATATATATATATATATATATATATATATAAGTAAAATCCTCCTAACAAATTTTTCCCCCAAAATTTAAGGGCATTTATGTACATTCATATATATATTCGGTTTATGGAAGGAATAATTTTTTTTTTTATTATTTTCCCCCCAAAATAGGGGTTTTTTTTTTTTTTTTTAATGCTACTGGCTCTATTAGAATGTAGTATATATATTCATATACTTTCTCAACCTATTGAAACACAAAGAACCAATAACGCCTCCGCTGAGGCTCGAACTCACAACCTTCCAAATGAAAGTCCAACCCGGGTACAATTAGACCACATAGTCCTGGTATGGAAAGAATAATTTGGTCATTAATAAATCTTATTTATTTGGAAATTAAGTAAATTGTATTAATTGGTAATATTGTGTACTTATGGTAGAATAATAATATATTATGTATGCTATTGTATTTATATATACACATGCCACACGAATATGCTGAAGTATATTGGATTTGAATAGCTCAGTGTTCAATATTTTAGGCTCATCCAATTGCCTAATAATTTAAATAACAATGAAAATTTAACGTAAATTGAAAGTTTTTACCTTTCTTGAGATCTCTTACCATTTTATAATTTCAATACTAAGCCATTTTGATCTCATTCATTGTGTATAAATACACCTTATATCACCATACACAACTCATCAACTTCACAATCCCAACTAAGATTAATTTATTTTTTTTTGAAAGCCAACAACCTTAAATTGCATTAGCCATTCCAGGCTCAAGAAAAGCGGGAGGAATATCCCTCCAAAGAGAAAAGAGGCAGATACATGCTTAGCCATAACATGGGCAGCCTATATAGCATCCCTGCGCACATGAATTACTGCTGATCTAGACATTTGATCTAATAAACGATTACAAGCTTGCAAAACAAAACCAAAATAAGTCCGGAACGAACTAGCATGCTTTAGACTGGAAACCAAGACAAGACTGTCATTGTAAACTGAAACCCTTGAGTAGCCATTATTCCTCAGCCAAGATAGTGCCTCACACAAAACCATTGCTTCCGCCAAGAGGGGGTCATAAGGGCAATTAAGAGGTCCATTCCCTGCCGCCACAAAGATTCCATCCTTCTCCTGCACTACGAATCCATAAGCCGGCACATGATTCGGACCATGGAAGCCCGCATCCACACGACATAACACGCCATCATCAACTACAGGAGCCGGATCCGGGGCCACACACAGCACACGTGAGGTGATGCGTTGCTGTTCAGCTGCTGTCCAAGAAGCCCACTTTGCCGTGAACCTCCTGACCACCACCATAGGCAACGGCAGACAGCCATCCCAAACCGCCTCATTCCTGGCTGACAAAACATCATATAACAAACCACATATCCTCCCTTGTGCCTCTGAGCTATAAGTGGCCATATTGCCAAGCCATTGTTCTGTCCACTGCCTAAAATTCCTGCCACCAAAGGAAGGAATTAGCAGATGAGATAAATTCCACACTTGTGTAGCATAAGGACAAGAACATAAAACATGCATAATATTTTCCTCCTCAAAGCCACAAGCTGGGCAAATATTAACCAAATCCACCCTCCTATTTATCAAGTTATCGAGAGTAGGCAAGATGTCAGGCAGAGCTCTCCATAAGAAAATTCTCCATCTAGGGGGGACCTGTAAACTCCATAAATAACGCCACACAGGCAAACACGGGCCATATATCTCACCCAACCTTCTGTATCCATCCCTAACCGAGTAGCAACCCCTTAGATCCCTGTCCCAAAACCAAACATCATCACATTCCACATTAACAGGGAGCTGCTTAATCAACAAAATATCACGTGGGGCAAACAACTCATGTAACAAATCATCATTCCACCCATTGGTGGCACTATCAAATAAGTCTGAAACCAGAAGCTCCTGGCCCAGGTTTGGGTGAGTCGAGACTACATAGGGATCAACAGCATCAGGCAGCCAAGGATGATTCAAAACCCCAGTGGCCCTTCCATTGCCTATCCTCCGCCTGCAACCAGATCTGAGCAACGCCTGACCTGCGTAAATACTTCTCCAAGCATAACTCGGGTTACGACCAATCGTGGCTTCATAAAACGAGGAAGTAGGATAATACCTGGCTTTGAACACACGAGTCACAAGGGACTCCGGATTTGTTAATAGTCGCCACCCCTGCTTGGCCAACAGAGCAACATTAAACTCATGCAAACGCTTAAAACCCATGCCCCCAAACCTCTTAGGCACACACATACGATCCCAGGACATCCAGTGAATACTGCCCTGTGAGCCTCTTTGGCCCCACCAATACCTGTTCATTAACTTCTCCAAAGCATTGCACAAAGATAAAGGTAGCAAATAAATGCTCATAGTGTAGGTAGGCATTGCCTGGGTTACACTCTTTAAAAGCACCTCCTTCCCTGCTTTGGATAACAGTCTCTTGTTCCACGAGCCAAACCTTTGCCTCAATTTCTGCCCTACATATGCGAAAACTGCACTTCTATTGCGACCTACCACAGAAGGCAATCCCAGATATTTGCCAAAATCATCAGCTTGGCCCAGCCCCAATGTATTCGCAACCAGATCACTCATCTCCACCTGTGTGTTACGACTAAACGTTATGCTTGACTTCTGAAAATTAACCGCCTGCCCAGAATAGGCCTCATATACTCCCAGGCACTTCTTCACCTCCAGTGCTTCCTGTAGATTAGCTTTAAAGAACAGCAGACTATCATCTGCAAAAAATAAATGCGAAATAGAAGGTGCCCCCTTAGCCACTCTACAACCATGCAAAAGCCCTTTTGTCTGAGAGTCCTGCAACAAAAATGATAAGTCCTCAGCACATATTATAAACAAATAAGGAGACAATGGATCTCCCTGTCTGAGCCCCCTCGTGGGCACTATTTCCTCAGATGGCTTCCCATTTACTAGCACCCTGTACCGCACGGACTGCACACATAACATTACCAGCTGAACCCATCTTTCATCAAACCCCAGGCGAATCAACATCTGCTGCACAAAAGGCCACTCCATCTTGTCATAAGCTTTCGCCATATCTAGCTTTAAGGCCGCCCACCCAACCTGCCCCAACTGTTTCCTCCTCAAATAATGACCAACCTCAGACGCAATTAATATATTGTCTGTGATCAGCCTACAGGTAAGAACGCACTTTGCGAAACAGAAATCATACCCTCAAGTAACGGTTTCATACGATTAGCAATCATTTTTGCCATTATCTTATATAGCACGTTACACAAAGCAATTGGCCTTAAATCAGATACAGACACGGGGGTGCATTTCTTGGGGATCAAAACAATATTGGCATCATTCAAATTATCAGGGAAAGACCTCTCAGACAAACAATTAAGAACAAAATCAGAGACGTCCTTACCAATAATATCCCAGAAAGCCTGGTAGAAGCCCGGATTCATGCCATCCGGACCTGGAGATTTGTCCTTACCCATAGAGAATAAAGCACTCCGTACCTCCTCCAGCTCAAAGGGGCGCAGTAACTCATCATTCTGCTCACTAGTTACACGAGACTGCATGGTATCCACATTAAAACTCCCAGGACTCCCACCTGAAGTAAAAATTTGCTTATAATAATCCACAACTACTGAGTCCAAGGCATTGCCCTCTCGCCAAACACCACCATCATCCTTCAGTCTCTGGATCACATTTTTCCTCTTCCGATAAGTAGCATACTTATGGAAAAATTTTGTGTTTCTGTCAGCTCCCTGGAGCCAGTGCTGTTTTGCACGTTGCTTCCAGAAAGCCTCCTCCTGGGCTAGCACCACACTCAACTGCTCATCAAGCTGCCTAAACCGTGCCAAAGATCCAGGATCACGACTACCCCGTAAACCATTCATTTCCTTCCTTATAACTTCGCCCCGTTTCCCATATTTATGATGGCGATCACCACCCCACCTCCTCAAACCCCGACCACACACACCAAGCCTGGCCTGTAACGCCAATCCCGGAGTGTTAGCCCATTCCCTTTCCACCACCTCCCTGCAACCTCCATCCAGTAGCCATGCATTCTCAAATCGGAAACACTGGGGCCTCAACACCTGCTCCACCCCATCTATATCCAAGAATAGCGCAGTATGATCTGACAAGTCAGTTCGAATATTGAACACTCTCGCCCTATCATTATCCTGCAGCCAGTCCATATTCGCCACCACTCTATCCAACCGCTCCTCAACCCAGCGAGCAGTCCCCTTCCCACGCTCCCACGTGTAAGGGTATCCAATCATAGGCAGTGTTATCAATCCACAGTCATCCAGAGCTTCTGCAAACGCCTCTACCAAACGTACCGGATGTGGCAACCTCCCCCTCTTATCAGACTGCATCAACAAATCGTCGAAATCCCCCAAGACCACCCAAGGTAGCTCAGAAACGCCCCTAAGAGATCGTAGGAAATCCCATGCAGCCCTCCTCCTATCCCTTTGAGGATTCCCATAATAGCAAGTTAACCTCCATAATGGCTTATCAGGCAAAGAAATCTCAAGGTCAATATGATTCATCGAATACTTAATCAAACGTGCACCATTGTTCCTGGCCCATAGAAAACACAAACCACCCCTCTGACCATCACTATCCAAAGCAAAACAACCCTCAAAACCCAGTCTCACACGTAGCCTCTCTGCATGACTTCTATCCACCATAGTTTCCATCAAAAACACAAACTCGGGCTTCTTCTTGAACACTAAGTCCACCACCTCCTGAACTGTCCGTGGATTGGCCAAGCCACGGCAGTTCCAAAATAAGGTACTCATTGAGACCGGTGGGCCTGGTCCCCAGGTCCCACCAAACAGTGTTGCTCTACTTCCACATGCATTTCCCTCACCTCACTCACCACTTCACCACCCGATCCCCTCCTCCGTTTCGGTTCCACCCTCAATCCCCTCTCCTCCCCCTCAACCGTAGCAGTTTGCAAGCTCGCCGGTAACACCCCCAAACCCGAAACCCCAACCCCAGTATGCCCCGCCACCACACTGCCATCCCTCCCCAAACCCGTAACCCCAACCCCAAACTGCCCCAACGCCACACTGCCATCAACCCCCATTCCCGTAACCCCAATCCCAACCTGCCCCGCCACCATTCTGCCATCCACCATCCCCTCACCTCCCTCAACCCGCAAACCCCTTGGCAGTCCCCTCACACCCGAAGCAGCCCCATAACCAATCTCCTTCCTTCTCTCCTGGCCTAGCCGAAACCACTTATCACCCAAAACCTTAGCCGGCCCCAAGCCCCCCGCCTTCATACCTGGGCCGTAAATATATTGCTCCGGCAACATTGAGGACCTTCGAGCCTCCAGACAAAATTTACCAATATGCCCCAACTTGCCACAAAAAAAAGCATAAAACATTTAGGCGTTCATACCTAAGATTAATTATTTCATTGACTTTTGCTAATTATCTTGTGATCTTCCACAATTGAGACTTATACGTGATTTGCAAGGGTGAGGTTTTCATTATCTTAGTTTTTTTTCTTTCTTTTTGGGTTTTGTTTTGTTTTTTTTTTTTTGTTTTGTTTTGTTTGTTTGTTTGTTTTTTGTTTTGTTTTGTTTCCTACTCATGTCTGTTTTGTTTTGTTTTGCAGGAGGGAAATTTTTTATTTTTTATTTTGTTTTGTTTCCTACTCATGTCTGTTTTGTTTTGTTTTGCAGGAGGGAAACAAGGCTAAGGAAATGGAGATAAAAAATAACAATAATGGATTGTTTCAATGCAACGTTTCTAAGAATGTGTTCTGTTCCGTCACAGATGAAGCGGCATGTAGAAACGGTACGGCCGGACAGATCGAACAATAAAAGCTAAGGGGGTGGGGATATACTCTGCATGCAAAAGCTGCAATATAATATATATGGGCATGAATGTTATCTATCCCACACACGTATATGATCTATCCCTTGGCCTTATGATCCCGATTTATTTGTTTTTCACCTTTTGTTTGTTTTAAGAAGGTGTATATATTTGTTACAGTTGGGATTACTCTTAATATCTGTAATGTCATTTTACATATGCAGATCTTTTTTTTTTTTTTTTGGAGCTTTCTTGATTCAATCAAAAGATCAAAGATTGGTTTTGTACATTGAGACTCAACATAGAATGATGATGAAACTTTTTGGCAATTTTTTTGTTGTCCAATAGCTGGTTGGAAGGGGCTTATGACAGTTTTGTATATTGGGAATGATAATTATATTGAGTTAGTTGCTTCTTTCATTTTAATTTATAGCTTTAATTTGCTTCTATATTTAATGTGTCAAAATATTATGTGAGTCATCAATTTCTTAGAAGTTCATCCCTAACTGTTTTAGTTTGTTCACATGATGAGTTTGAATTTACTTGTGTTCATCGATCTCTAACTCCTGGGTTTGTTAACTATTGCACATGTAGGTCCACACATACATTAAAGATATTATTTACTATCCCATGTGTAATTAATGTATAAGAAATATTCTATGTAGAATATAATGATACTCTCATATCATAATACATAGTCCAGTTTGAAGTAGTATCCTGATTTCCTACAAATTAAAATGGATCATTAGAAAAATGAAGGTGATAGTATTCAAAAAAAAAAAATGAAGGTGAATATGATTTTGATTATAGATGAAAAATAATAATACTAATAATAATCAGTAAAATAATAATTAGTACTAATAATAATCAGTAAAAAAGTTAGCAGTAAAATAAAAAAAATAAAAAAAAGAATACGTAATTCACTGAAAATGAAAAATGAAATAGAATTCATTGATTAATTAATACTAATAATAATCAGTAAAATTGGAAAATAAAAAAGGATCCTTAATTCATTGAAAATAAAAAAAAAGGAAAGGCAAGATTGTGCAAAAAAAAAAAAAAGAAGAAGTTATAAGCAGTAAAAAAAGAAAATCTTATCAAAAATTATTAATTAATAATAATAAGGATATGGAATTAAATTAATAATAGTAATAATAATAATAATAATAATAATAATAATAATAATAATAATAATAATAATAATAATAATAATGTATACTATTAATAAAAATAAAATCATCTTATTTAGTTTCCATTTTGAAGTAGTTTCCTGATTTCTTACAAATTAAAATGGATGATTAGGAAAATGAAAATAATAGTATTAAAAAAAAATATGAGGGTGAATATGAATTTGATTATAGATAAAAATAATATGTGATTGTGCTGAGTCATGAAAGAAAAATATTATTTTTAATTAGGTAATTTTTATTTTAGCATATCTTACTATTTACTATAAAGTCTATATATTGTAACATGTTTTTCTATTTTATGTAAAAACCATATAGTGTAATTGAATTTTTATTATTAAGATATACATTTATATAATTTCTATAGTTTATCTATACTCTTATTTAAAAAAAAAAATCATCCTTCCTTGCATTCCCGCCCAAAGAATATAAAAGGAAAAAAGTTACTAATTTATAATACTAATAATAATCACTAAAAAAGTTAACAATAAAATAGGAAAATAAAAAAATATCCTTAATTCACAAAAAAATAGAAAAGAAAATGAAATTCACTGATTAATTAATACTAATAATAATCAGTAAAAAAGTTAACAGTAAAATAAGAAAAATAAAAAATAATCTGTAATTCACTGAAAATAGAAAATGAAACGGAATTCACTTAATAATCAGTAAAATAGAAAAATAAAAAAAGATCCTTAATTCATTGAAAATGGAAAAGTAAAGGCAAGATTGTGTCATAAAAAAAAAGTCATAATAAGGAAACAAGTAAAAAATGAAAATCCTATCAAAAATTACTAATTAATAATAATAAGGATATGGAATTAAATTAATAATAATAATTATTATTATTATTATTATAATGTATACTATTAATAAAAATAAAATCCTCCTATGTAGTTTCCAGTTTGATGTAGTATCCTGATTTCCTACAAATTAAAATGGATGATTAGGAAAATGAAGATGATAGTATTAAAAAAATAAAAATGAAGGTGAATATGAATTTGATTATAAATGAAAATAACATGTGATTGTGTTGAGGCATGAAAGAAAATCATTTTTTTTA